CCCTAGCACACTCCACATATCGAGAAGGCTGACTGAGATCACTGACTAATAATTAAAGTTATAACAAAAATTTGAATTATAACAGGATAATCGCACTAATAAACAAAAACCTGCTTTGTCTTTCTTATGTGGTAAAAATATAGATCACTTGACCACGATTATGTTGAACGCACAGTTGAGTCATCGAAAAAAAACTAAACCCTGGTTTACATCTGGATCTAAACACTGAATTTTTTTCTTCACTTTCCTCAGTGGAACATGGAGCTTCAAGCTAGAGGCTTGAAGTTTCTGTAGCAGTGTTTAATTTTTACACGATGGGGTTGCTAGCCTCATGCCCAACCTTTCCTCTTTACCAGCATTATTTTTGTCTTAGTAAGGTAAAGGATTGCGTCGGTGGCCGGAGATCGAACCCCGGACCATGTGCATGGTCGGCAAGCGTCTTAGCCTCTGTGCCACCGATGCACAAGAAACTGAGTAGCATTCCGTAAACTACTAATTTTAATCCTCTCACAGTTTAGGCCTTTGTTTTACTCCTATTATTACTCATTAGACCAGACTCTGTGTCCCACTCTGGGGCTATGTCATAAACAGTCTTTGGGGTAGCGGAAATATATAGAATACACAAGTGTGTTACTGATTACTAAATTGTTGTTATCCAGAATAACCAATATTCATACTGTGAATTACAACTTCCTACTAAATAAAAATGCCAAAATATGTTTAGTGTTTCAATTCTTTCCTTTGTAATAATTCTTTCAGAACATGAAGCAACCTAATTAAACGTCTGTTTTACAACAATTCTTCAAGTTTCACAACACCCATAATACAGAACCCACAAAGATATTTTAAACTAAATGAATAACTGACAGAATTTGACTCTCTTTACTCAAGAATTTAGTAATTTTAATATTAGTCCACTAAACTCGTATAATTAGAATATTAGAGATGAAAAGAATTAATAATTCTATTGTTCTCATAAAAGCTCATAAAGCTACTTAGAGTATAAGCTATATATGCATTTCCATAGTGTCGTTCTTTGTAGTACAAAAGAAATCTAGTAAAGACATTCAATTATTTATGTGGGAAATGTGAACGAGTATGAAAAGAATACTGTGTATAATACCCTAATTGAAAAAAGCTGTCTCGGATTTGCTCATTAGGAGTACATGTCTAAGAAAGTGGGAAAATAAGTGCTTTGAATCTACAAGCAAAAAAATACTCGATATGTGAATGCAATTTAGAAGCGAATTAACACGGCAAATTACCAATTAACAGGGTTAGGGAGCTGATCCAAAGAACTTTCACTGCCAATGAACCCTATCTCATATTTTCTATGTACCAGGTACTGGATATTGCAAACAGCTAAAGCTACATAGATCGCCTTGAAATAGCCAGTAAGGTATAAACAGGGGAAACAGGTTCAGTGACTATCGTCACCCCAGTATGCTGCTGGATCTATAAATTCTTACATGGTGTGTTAAATAACAATATTTTAGTCACATCCTTTCACTCTGTATGCACATATTCACCCATCCTTTCTTTTTTACCAAAACTTATCTGAACCATTCATCTTTCTGTCTTTTCACATATATTAATAAACCTTTGATCTGCTTTATTTCTTGTTAGCTATCCAATCCTATTTTCACTTTCACACTTACACGCGTACAAAATCATCCAATCCATTTTATCTTCGTGTTTTCAATGCTAACATTCATTCATAGGAAACAAAGTTCCTTCTTAATATTAATCACAAGCATTCAATGTCCTTTATGATCATTTACTTTGTAAAAAGCACCCTGTTTTATCTGATGTTAAATGTTATGCTTATGCATATAATCATATATACACATTTTGAACCCCAATTAAGCATTTATTCCCATACTCCACTGTAGTATAAATTTGTTAAATTCTTTAATTGCAATAAGATTATAAGTTTCCAGACCGTAGGTGTTACGATCTTCCTGGAATAATTTGAGCGCCGAGTCAGACTAATTCATTATAAATTATTTATATGAATCTCAGCGTGGGATTAATTTAAAAACAATTATAATTTAATCATAATAGTTCAATTTCATAGAAAACACTAATGGGGTTGAAAATAACTGTTTTTTAACCAATATGGATATATTAGTTCAGAACCTGAGGAATAAACTGCGGTAAAGAAGGTCTGTTTTTCACCAATCACTGTTTTAATTTCCTTCGACTCCTACTTTTCGACTATGTTCTACGTTAAATATGTTATCTGCTATTAATACCAACGATGAAAGTAAAGTAGATCACAGGATTTCCTTGGAAAACACTTTTAGGTTTTCGATATTTAGTAGTATTGCGTGGGACAAATTCCCATGATCATTTATGCCTCAGAACTAGTATCTTCTGAACATTCTTATTTCCGTAATACGAAGAAAGGAATGCTTAAAAAATAAGGAAGCCTTTTTGTTATCGTACATTAACTTCCTTCACGCTTTCCAGACAAGTGACTATATATCGTTCCTTTGCAAGCAACGAAGTCATTCTTTACTTACATTTTCATTTAGATGTCTTACACAAAGAATTTCCTTCATGAATACGCCTATAATACAACTAAATTTTAAGTTTTCTTTCCATTCACGGAAATACGTAAGCGTCAATAACTGATACGAATAATAATTTCTGGGACATCTCGTAATAAATTGTTAGTGAAATGCAAACAGCTAAGCCTTTCTGAATCACTTAGGATGCAACTCAGTTCTCATTAAATGACATTTTTAGAATATATAGGGTAGGTAGACTCGACTAATCTACCTCCTAATAAAGAACATACTACGGGACAATGATATATGTATGCAAACCTCAGAAAATAAATGTTCTGGTTTTATTAAGAAGACAATTGCAGCGAAGAAAATTTTCTTTCCGACGAAGTCATCATCTAGGCTGTACATTCATGTATTTATGTCAAATGTGAACACTATCCAGCTTGGTTAGTAAAAGGAGACCAAAAGCGTGTATACAGTTCAGTAGCAGAACATCTAGTCTATTCAGGACATTCAGCTCCTTTCGAAAAATCCTTCAAAGTAATATACAAGATTCAGTCTAGGGAGTGAAATCAAGACATCTGGGCATAGCCGAGGCGCTCATACCCACGCTTTGTATCCAAAAGAAATACGTCCAGTCCCTGTCCCTGCCATGGCCACCGTAAACAGGTAATTTTTTTGTAATGACCATCCCATCGCCTTTCTTATCTAAAATTCCTGTTTATTCATGTTATTTTACGTTTTTCTTAATCCCTGTTTACACTACCATATTTTCATATCCGAACTTCATGTTTATTTTGTCATTTTACTATCTCTACATATTTATTCCCTGATTACAAAAACAATTATTCATCACATTAGTTTTTTTTATCCAAACATCCTGTCTATTATGTTATTTCTACATTTCTAACCCCCAATAGCACAATGTCAATCTTCTTAGTTGTTTGAGTTTTATCCGTCCCCTGTTTATTATGGCATTTAAATTCTTAATTGTAATTTTTATTAATTTGACCCTTAACCGGAAATTCTTCTGGAACTTTCTCATCCATTTGATATAAATACACGAATGTACAGCCTAGACGATGACTTCGTCGAAAAGAAAATTTTCTTCACTGAAATCGTCTTCTAAATATTCTGGTTTGTTTAATACCAGAACCATAAATGTGTCAAGACATATTGTAATTTTAAATGTGTTTTTTGAGGAGAAAACCAATTCATATAAAACGCCTATTCATCTATCGACTCAAAAGTATAAAACAGTTCACTAGTAATAGAATGGATTATGTGAATTAGTTAATACACTAAAATTTGTTGATTTACTTATAAAGGGGTAAGTGAGCAAAAAATAAAGATGATTCGTGTTTAAAATCTTGTCAGAACATCCTAAATTCCTTAAAAATGTGCACGGTAATTTTAAACTAATAAATAGTATCCATTCAGCCTACTGGAAAGTTATGTATCTTTTTACCTTATGGAATAGTAGAAAACTTAATACGACCGTAGAGTAACCTTTTTCGAAATAACGCATTAAATTTCCCGTAACGCTGTTCACAGTGAATAATCAACCGAACAGAATCTACTTCGCATATTATGCTTACAGAGAGGATTATTATTTATTATTATTTCGGATAGATTACAAGGTAATGTTTCACGCAAAAATAGTCTCCATTGTAATCTTTTGGACCGTCCAGCAATACATAGTATTATATATTATGAACTAACTCGTGGACTATAAGCCTCACAGAGATAGCTTGATTATTTAAATTCTGGTCTCGAAAGTAGCAATTCACTATTACCTTCCGTTAGTTTTCCAGCTGATGACAACACACGTTATAAAGTGAAACTGTCTAAATCAATCGATTTGGCTTTGCTTGTTTAACCCTAAAGACCTTTGAAAGTGTAGAATGATGATGAATTCGAAAGTACGATGACTGAATGCTGTGGTATGATAAAGGTAATTAGACTGATAACCTGCCTGACAAACAAAGAACTAACTAATTAATTACATTCATTATACTCTCTATACTCATTTATTATCATTGTCAAATTACGGTATCTTCTGCTATCGTTTACACGACGTTACTCTTATACTATGTGACACACCAACGCAAGATATAATATAGAAGATCTGTAGCTCATGTGGATGATTTTGATGTAGTTGTGTTCTCTGAGCTGGATGGTTTACTGTTGAAACTTTTATTCTTCGATTTAAAGTGAAGTATGTGCTGAAGTGAACACAACTACATCAAAATTGACTTTCAACGATCAAATACACTTACGTTGTCATTTTTAATTGTTTCATGTGGAAGTGCTGTAAATTACCAATAGACTCTATCAGTTTAATAAATAATTTAAAATCTTTTAAAAAAGCAAGGGATTCAGAGAATATTTTTGTTTAGCTATAGTGTTACTTAGAACAACAGATATGTAATGCTACTGTACTAGTTATTGAAGTAGCTCAAACGATACATCACTGTTCTATGTATATTAAATTGCACTTGTGCTTGTATAACATTTTATTTCGTACGGATTGTTTCCAACTGCCTTTGCAACAGGAAAAACTGTCCATTGTTTTCGAATTGCTATTACATTGAGTATAACCAGTAAAGCTACTACAAAAGACCACTGTAATAAATTATAAAAAACAAAGAATATTACATAAATAAATTTTAGGCTATGTTATTTTCATAGTACTTATCACCAATGAAGTGGGTTTTTTTAAAAATGAACTGATTAATCTGAATATCCTGTAACCTAACATTATAAATAATAACAATGATTGGTTATAGGATTTCATCATGATCTGACATTGGTCAGAGAACCACTGGAAAACCTGGGAGTACTAGACAGCTGTTTCGTCCTAGTTTGAGACTCTTCATCAGCACACACCCACGGGAGTTCGAACCCAGGACTTTCTGGTTTCAAGGCGAGCTCGTAAACCATTAAGCCACTGGGACTCGATCGAAGGGCCGGCTTATGAATTGTAACTTCTGCCAATTCACGACATAGAGCGACCCCTAGCCAATGTCTTTGGCGAGTATTTCTCCTCACACCCGACCTGCTGCACCCTACTGGTCACAACTTTCCACTGGAACCCCAGGTAACTACCTAACTGAATAGGGCCAGTCGCCAGTGAGCATCTCATTGATATTCGAGTGTTGGTTTGTAGGAATTTGGTTGATTGGTTATAGGATTTCATCATAGCATTTCATGGCTTAATGGTATACGAGCCCGCCTTGTAACCAGAAGGTCCTGGTTTCGAATCCCGGTGGGTGCGTGCTGATGAACCAAAAGTACAGTATGGAATCAAGCTGTAATCAAAAATAAATAAATAAATGAAGAGTCCCAAACTAGGACGAAACAGGTGTTCAGTACTCCCAGCTGGTTTTCCAATGTTTCTCTAACCGACGTCAGCTCATGATGAAATCCTGTAACTAATCAACTAAATCTCTACAGACCAATACTTGAATAACAATGGTTTTTATACTGAGTCATATTATACAGTAAATTTATTTATTTATTGCACACATCTGATTATTACTCACTTAACAGTTTCAATGAGATGAAACGTTATGTTTAACTCACATACAGAGTGTACTTATTGATCAGTATAAATGAAGTTCTAAGCAGTAGTTTCTTTTACATTTTCATTAGGATTTAGGTTAATCTCGTAAATAATACTCATATATTTTTTTGTTTTATTATAAGGCAAAGCTTACCTCGAAAATCAAAGTTGTAACAGATGTATATGTTATCTTATACCAGTCAGGATCATATGCAAACATATCGTATAACCACCAGATAAGCAAAAGTACACCTTCACACGGCACAAGAACGCTAACATGTAAAGAAAAAATTTTCAAAAGTAGTTGTCATAACTTTTATTCACTGAAGAGAAGTTTATGAGGTCGGGATAAAAAAAACTAATTTCAAAAGATATTTATAAATGAATTTATCGAAAAACAAAACTTAGTTTGTTGTCTTGAAAGGCTATGAAAGAACACAATATATATAATGCAATTTAAAATTTTCCCGGCGATTTTCCCGCCGAAGTGCTTGGTCTCAAGTTAATATGTCGACTCCTAAAATTCGAGTGCTAGTCACCATCCACCAATTGACTACTGGTCAAAGTATATTCACAAGAAGTCAGCATGTCGACTTGAGACCGAGCACTTCAATCCAGTCAATCGACGGGAAAACCTAAAATTGAATCAAACAGTTAACATGACCCGTTGCACAAGAGGTGGCTCTCGTGGCCCAAGGGGTCTAGTGGATGGCGCTTTGGCGTTTGAAACTAGGGGCACTGAGTTTGAGCCTCGGTGGGAACACCATCACACACCGGAGAATGCAGGTGGATCCAGATGACGAGTCCCAAATAGGAGGAAATGCGCATCCTAGATTCTACTGCTTGTCACCACCCACCAATTGACTTCCAGACAATTTATGATTAAAAATTACAAGTTTCAAACTAATTTGTTAATACATAGTTCATCTATTTTTGTATAGTTTATATGCAAGCTCGAGAATCGGCTTTTAATAACAGAAAACTAGGAGCAAATGCAGTCTCCCTGCAACATATACAGGTTAAGGTGGATTTTCCCACACTTTTCTCTAAAAACCTGAATCATTAAGATAATAACAGGTTATTACCTAGTTATCATAAGTGGTGTCAGGATACCGAACATAAATTTTACCCGACACATTATTTACTTAAGGAAAAAAAGTTGAAAAATGTCCATGTTAGCAAACAGCGTTCCACTATTTTATGCAAACAAGTGAATGTATTCTACGCGCAGCCTATTTGCTCAGGTAGTTAGCTGGAATTCTAGTTCTCTGAGGTGATTCAGCTTTCACAACTGAGTCAGTTAGACCACATCTCTAATTAAGTCAGTCTTCAGTAAGCCAAAGAGCCATTTAGTGTTCTCGCCAAATCTGGATGTATAGTGAGCATCGCTGTAAGTCTTTATCGATTATTCGTATCACTCCGTAGCATTTAAAAAGAATCATATTGCATAATCCATTTTCAGACTAGTTTGAATTGTTTTCTTTTCTATGAATAAATAAGTAAAATTAAAAATAATTTTTTACAAATGTCTACTTCTCACTCGGCACCCAAATATTATAGAACTATTCTGTCAAATCTTGACTACAGTTCATTTGATTTATTTTGTAATCGAATTAAATTAAGAAAGAAACTATGTAATTGGCACAATCATTGTGTTTCCACTCTCCGTTGTCTGCAACAGAATGCGTATCCTAAATTCGTGGCTGTCCAGTCACCTGACAACTTCAGTAGGTCGAATAAAGCAGCTGAATTTTCAGAAAGAAGACAAAGTAATAAGGTTGACAGGGTGCTTCAACTAAACTCTAATCCTAAACACTATAATTTTGAAAATACGTCTAATCATAAAATTCTAGATACTAGCAGATTGAACAGACATGAAGGTTACATGTTAGATGACGCATAGGAAATCCTGATTAATATATAAGAATGGATATGTATCACTAACTAATAATACTTGGTCAAAGTTTCCCGACTGTCTATATCTACTTATGGAGACGTTAAGACATTGGTTTACAACTGTTTATCCGCACACACATACACACTGTGTTTAAATTGTTTAACAAAGGTAGATCAATATTTGTAAGTCTGAGGTCAAATTTTGATCACAACTCGTACAATTTTGTTTATTATACTTGTTAATATTTGTTTTATGAATCATGATTGGACAAAGTTTTTAAAAACAAAAGATGTTCCTTTTATATATAAACCTGTTATGTTAATTTCGATTAATTTCCCTGAAGAAGTTCGGACCAGATTTCCGAACGAAACGTTGGAATTACTCATTTCAATATCGCTGAGATTTTACAAATATGATTTTTTTTACAAATGTCTACTTCTCACTCGGCGCCCAAATATTAAAGAACTATTCTGTCAAATCTTGACTACAGTTCATTTGATTTACTTTTAATTCTCTTCTCAGATAATGTAACCCCTTTTCTGTGGAATAAATATTCACATTATATATTTAAAGATGACCTGCTTAAATTACTGGGCTACCTAAATTTATCTTTCAGTTAAATGCATTATGTTTACTCCATTTCATGTCATTTAAATCATACAACTGTGTTCAAGAATTTCAACATATACTCAGATATGTTTCAATCTATTGTTAAGACATTTTTGACGGAAAAGGAGGAGAAACATTAGATTATTCGACGCTGCCTCCGATAAAACAATATAGCTCCAGTTTACATATTAAGGATTATCATATTACTTGAAGATTCTGAACAGGGAGTAAATACCTTGCAGTAAGAAAATTGCCGAAAATTCTGTATTTTGTTAAAAGGCACTTTTCAGAATAAACCCAGCATTAATATTATTATTACAACTAAATATTTTAAAAGTCCGTCCGTCTCTAAACTTCCTTCAAAAACTTTAAATAAAACAATTAATCTATTTGATACAGTCAACCTGTATGAAACACTACATGCATCGTTAGTTTCTTTTAAGACGGTGCGCAAAACCGTGCCCGAAATTGTCTAACAGAAATGTCTTAAGAGTCAACCAATGCATTACATAAGACTGTGAAATGCACTGCAGGATTTGACGTTTTTTAAATTTCATTAAGTATCTGAACCTAATGAATATGCCGATTCATACCGTGAGTGATGACAAGATAACTGCTTGGGAGACTCTCAAAAAGGTTATCATATTTTCTCCTTACTTTCCTTATAATCTCTTCCAAGGTATACTGTGTTTCTTTTTCAAGAACTTGGTTTATTAATCAACTATCTATGTACATATACTTGCCTTGATATATGAATTGCTTTCAGCCTTGTTTTTCAATATAATAATTCAGCCTACTAGAGCAGGAAATCAACTTCTTATAAAAAAGCTAAATAAAGAAACTTGCAGAATTATATTAACCCACGTCTAATGATGATCAAGGAAATCAGTTGATTTCTCTTTGGATAATTCTGTCAGAATGGTACATATATACTTCACAAGGTGTTTCTCAGATAAAAATTCTAATCCATATTTCTGCTTAACTTGAATTGATAATACGATTATGCCTCACATAGAAATGGTTAATTTTGTGTCAGATACCTTTTTTTGTTATCTAGATAACTGTATAAAGAAACATATTGCTGTTTTTAAAACGTCAGTAGACTGAATTGTCTAAAATATTGTGGTCATAAATATGGCTTACACACTAGCATAAAAAGAACGTGTTCCACTTCAGTTAACAAAAAAGGAATAGTCTTCATGTTAAATCAAGCAGTTATTATATCTTAGATAGAGTTAACAGTAAATGTATGAACGTATGCGGATTAATCATAATAAACGCTATTGACCAATCAGGGTTTACATTAGAGTCCTTCAGGTATGACACATACTTCGAAGACCTCAGCAGTAACATCTCTGTTTACGTAAACATTATTATGTTATTATTATTATTTCCTTAAGTCACTAGTGGAACATATGACTTGAGCAGGACCATCACTGATTGATGCGAATTCCTATTTTAGAGGTGAGGTTGAAGGGGTACGATGCTGATATATGTCAGTAAACATGAAGCCTTTGTTAGCAGCTTCTATCGGATTGCTTTGACCCATCTAACATCAATAACAAATACTTCATAATAAAATTTATATAATAGTAACAGCAAAATAACCATAAAATATCTTTAAAATCCTGTTAAGTATAATTATGATAATCTTAAGTATATCTATTTTGTGTCAGACTAACTATTCTTCTTTATTATTCGCCCTTATTCTTTCCTGGTTTGCTTAAAAAGGACTATGTCACAATTCGTAGAATTCTGAAGACGGTCAGTAGGGTGAGTGATGTCCCAGTAGACCACATAGTTAATGTTGTTATCGATAGGCACTTGACTTGGTGCAATAAATTTGCTAGAGGGATTTTGTCTGACTTGGAGCATCCACTTTACCCTCAGCTTTCACCTTGCATCTACTCAGGTAGAACAAGATGTAACTTCAGAAAACTGTATGCTCGCACGTCTAAGTATAGAAATTCTATGATACCATACTTGGCACACATTTTATGTGGTGAAAATAGTGTTAGGCAAGAATTAACTAACCTTTTTTCATCTGGTAAACAAACAATTTCCTCCGTCCATCCTTATATACCTTCAAGTTTTACTTTTATTATTTCTATTATATTTATGGTCCTGTTGCTTCTTTGTTTGTTTTACTTTCATAATTGCCAACACCAACTTATCGCTATGACTGCTGCAATCTTTGTTTTCCCCTCACCATATCATGGAAAGAGAACATTATATTCAATATTTTTAAACATGCTAGGATTTCTATACCACACTGACAATACTGTGTGTAACAAGCCGACAGCGATTTTCACTTGTATTATTATTATTACCTTAGCTGTTATCACTATTATTATTTCCTTTTTATATGCTACATGTTTTTGACGTTATCCCTATTGTAAATGTGGAAACTTCTCTGTGTGAATAATTTTACTTATAATTTGAAGAAATTAGATGCAATATTGTGATTAATGCTGAAAATTCCATTCTGTATCTCAAGTACTATTTTTGGAATAAAGTAAATCACTATTATTATTATTATTAAAAATATTTATTCCTATAAAGAAGAGAATATTGTCAAAATTACGGGCCAATTCACAATATTTTATTAAGTCACACTGCTGACTTACGTTATGCCAAGTATCCATATCCTTGGCAGATGCCAATCGCCTATTCCAAACTCATTAACTACGCAACGGCGGTATCTTTCAGGACCATATTTAATGACTATACTGGCCATCAGTACACCAGATACTATAAGTCCCATTCCCCATACATCATCCTGAATATAAAAAAAATTGTACAAACTTATTTTAAGTGTAGCAAAGAGTTACAGTTGAAAAACAGATGATCTTCTTAGTGGAAAAACTTTGATATGGAGATACACAAAACATTTTAATGTATCCTGATGACTTCAGTCGGAGAACGCTAAACAGAATCACACAGGTAATAGTTAAATATACGAAATACTACCAGTGACGAAATGTGACGAAATGCCTTCTTACCGTAGAATTTAAATCTGAAATTTTCTTGAATGACTTTATGACTAAAAGTAAATTATAAAGATTTCCTGGATGATTTGCATAAACTAATAATTTTTTTTCCTTCACGTTCCCCAGTGGAACATAGGGCTTCAAGCTAGTGGCTTGAAGTTTCTGTAGCAGTGTTCAATTTTACAGGATGGGGTTGCTAGCCTCATGCCGAACCTTTCCTCTTTACCAGCATTATTTCTGGCTTAGCGAGGTGAAGGGGTGCGTCGGTGGCCGGAGATCGAACCCCGGACCATGCGCATGGTCGGCGAGCATCCTAACCACTGTGCCATCGACGCACCAAATTTGCATAAACTGCTGATATTATATCATCCTGTACTATATCTTCTATGTTATATTTCGTGTATTTCTCAATAAAAGTTAATATGAGATTACTAACTGTTTACATTTTTTATATATTTTTTGGCTTCGTTTAATATTATTTAGCAGTAAAAATATCTTGTCTCTGTTGTCTATAGCATGTGACTAAGTAAATCTTCACTAAAATGCGATCTACGCTGCCTACGTTCACCAGATAATAAGTAAACTAATGAATTCCTGAAAATAATCTAGCACAATGCTAACTTATTCATAATAAACTAAACGTCTCGTTTTGTAATCCTTTAGTATTAATTAAAATTAATTAAGATGGAGTAGTACAGAGAGGCTTTTTTTAAAAAATAAAATTTTATTTTATTTATTTAACTGCAACGGAATGGATCAGCAGAGCAAAACCAAAATAAATGCTAAGATGGCTTACATAACTACTTCCGTTGGACAGTAGTATTTTTAGCAGAATGTTCTCAGTGTAATGCTTTCTAAATAGTAAAACAGTTTATCATTTCGGAGGAAAACGTTGAAGATTTGTAGGTTAAAAATAAATGTATGTATATATATGCTTTCAGCTCATAATTTCTTCAATTTTCTCTTTAAAAAATGTGTTTTGAGTATATGTTTTCTTAGGAGAGTTCGACTGAATTCCACTTTTTCGTGTTTGAATCTTGAATGAATCTTTCCTTCACGTTCCCCAGTAGAACATAGGGCTTCAGGCTAGTGGCTTGAAGTTTCTGTAGCAGTGTTTATCTTTACAGGATGAGGTTGCCAGCCTCATGCTCAACCTTTCCTCTTTACCAGCACTATTTCTGGCCTAGCGAGGTAAAGGACTGCGCGACCGGGGATCGAACCCGGGACCATGTGCATAGTCGGCGAGCGTCCTAACCGCTATGCCACCGACGCGTGTTCTAACACATATTTTGTTGAGGATTCGATTTCCGGGAGGGCACAAATTCACATAAAGTAAAATGAGCCAAACAATTTTAAGTGCTCTTTTATATTATTTTACAAATTACTCTTTTCAATACATTAGTTAGAATTAGTATACTTGATTCCAATGGAGCAAGGCAAGCTTTCATTACTCCTAAGTCTCTGTGAAGATCAGCAACACTCAGCATGAAAAATAAGATCTGGACTTTCAACTTCAGTGTAAAGTCACTGCTACTATACGCATCAGATATTTGGCGACTCACGAAGGAAACTTCAAACGGGACTTCAGAAGGAACTTCAGGCCTTCGTCAACAGCTACCTTCGATCATTACTAATCAAGATCAGGTGGCCCGAAAAGATCAGCAACAGGGATCTCTGGGAGCGAACCAACCCAGCAGTAATCGATTGTGCAACAAATATGCAGGAAGAAATTGAGGTGGATCGGTCACACTCCGAAAAAACAAGCCATCAAGTGACATCACAAGAAAGGCTCTCTCTCTCGAGTGGAACCCATATAGGAAGCAGCGAGTTGGCGTCAGTGCGAGGGTGACAAGGTGAAGGTCATGTGGAGAGGAGATGAAAGCAGGTGTGCAGATGTGGAGCCGGGTGAAAATGTTGGTGGAGAACCGAACGGAGACATGCGGCTGAAGCTCCATATACCTCTAGTTCTAAAGGAAATAATAACAATATGAAGTAGAACACTTAAACAAATTTTTACACACTAGTTCCAGAAATCTGTGCTGCAATACTAAAATAAAAGAAAGCACACATCATTATTATTATTGGTTCCTTAGGCTCCGAGTGGAACATAGGGCTTGAACAACACATCTCCATTTTGACTTATTTTCTATTGTCCACTTTAGCGGGGCCCACGATTTCCCATAATCTCTCATCTCCTCCCCCCCACGATATCCTCCATGTCACCCACGTACCGACGACCCACTCGTCACTTCATATTGGGATTCCACTCGGTTGATGGCCTGCATTACGTGCGATGTCATTTGACCGCCTCCTCAACGCATTTCCAATCCATTTGAACTTTCTCTTACATATTTATTAAACGATAGGTTCTTGTTTAGCTTGTTCCCAGTGTTTCTTATTTGCTAATTCTCTCTGGTCTTTTCATCTTCAATATAGAGCAATTTGTTTGTAGATGTGTAGTACTGGATGATTGTAACCTCCCTTCCTTTTGAGCTGAATCTTGCTGTCATAACCACGGATGAAATCGGTCCCACTGTATTAGAGCTTTGGCTGCTATTAGTGGCGTCATAATAGCCACTCCCTCAGCGTGTTAGTGGCTGTTTTCTGGGTGACCAGAGTAGATTACTGACTCACCGGTTGACAATTTGGATAAACCGCGCCCATTCCACCTTCTCACGAAGATTCTTAAGCAGTTCCATACAGTATTTTCTCGTTTCTTTGACTGCCTGGGCTTGGGTAGCCTTCCTAGCCTCGTACATTGTAAGAATGTTCCACATCCTAATAGTTATTTTTGGTTTCGTCGAGAGAATACATACTAGCCGACTGGCTTCCAGAAAGCTTTCACCAGCCCACGTCATTTTGTATTTTCGGTTCCAGAGAAAAATAAGTTTGTTGTTTCTATTTTTTAATTTTTAATCCTTCTTTTGTGCATTGAAATTTCTGTAGTGATTGGATTGATTTTCTGGGATGGAGCTGATAGTGGCACACCCAACCGTCTCTCTTTTTTTGGCTTAGGACTGTCTAGAAAACTAGCTAGTAATCTAGGCGCGGTTGCACACATACTGCACAAAAATGTTCAAATTCAATATGCATAAAAGGAGTTAATATAGCCTCGATGCCTAAGATAGATAAGTTCTTAAGAAAACAGAGTAATTGGTATGAAATTGAAAGTCAATTTGAGGAAGTCACATCATAGTCTTCTCTAATGTATAATTTAAATGGGTAACATGCTCACTGCTTTTGTATTGACAAAAATGGAGCAGAACCCTGTTAACACTTCAGAGTTATATTATTATTTATACACTCACCTGATTTGTTAAGAGATTAAGATTCAGTGCAGAAGGAATTCCAAACAAAATATTTATTCCTACAGCGATAGCAGCACATTTTCTGTGGCTAACTGTGTGAATAACAAGATAGAATATAAGCAGGTAACGTACCATAAAACCTTTGTAGATTAACAATGATTTTCAGTTAAGTGAATCACTAATACTGATTATTCTTGGAGAAATAACAGTGGAAAATCTTAGTCATGGGCAGAAAAACTTACTGACATGAAATAATTCCTGAATATCCTTATGTCAATTCATCTTGGCCGCGTTAGTAAAGTGAAAATTGAGATAATTTTTCACGAGAAAAGGATAAAATCACACCCTTGTTACTTTTAGCACTAATTAAAGTGTGTATTTTTGTACACCGAAGTCTGTCCAAAAATCATTTAGGCGTTTGCTTCTCGAAATTCATTCTCTGCCAATAATAGTGCAGTGCGATATGCAGCTTTAATCTCATTTTAGAGTCCAACATTTTTATAATTCATCAGGGATAAAACTCTTTCAAATTAGAAATGTTCTACATATAACCTGTCCATTCACAGACACTTCACTTTTGTGCTTCCAGAAAGGTTTCTGGAAACTTAAAAATTTAGACAAACCAAAATATATTAGTAATTTTTAAGATTATTATATTTAATAAAATTTCTCTACACTAGCTATTTAAAATACCCAACACAGTGAATTTTCACTAATGAAGACTTATCCAAGATTGTTGTTTGTTGACTGCTTCAAAGGTTCAAAGAATTTATCACTCACACTGCCTTTTCTTATTCTCTTCAGGAAGTAATCTCTGAAAGCGATACAAAATCACAAACAGACCAGTTGTTCAACAGTAAATACAGTGTAATCAATTAACCTACGTCTATCCCCTGTTCATCTAGTCTTCTCAGCCCTTATCACTGTATGTTTACTAATTAAGCACTGATTTTCCCAATCTAAACCAGATCTTCCCGGGTTTTAGGAAATTACATACACATTTTAAGACATCGATTGTATAATATTTATTCGCCACCACTTTTGTTTCATGCAAACCAAGAAATCTATTTTGAGGTCGTGTCCTACGTTTTTTTGGTTTGTCATCCCAGAGGCTTCCGTACAGGTCTCTGTTCGCTAGCCCTGGGACGGGATGGAAAAGACGGAGAGGTGGTCAGTCCATGACGTGGCGTCGTGGGATGAAGGAGTTTTGTGCTAGACTAGCATCGGTTGGTGCGTCACGACTCCCTGGTTGGGGTCCGAGGAATGGCTCGAAACGTTATCGGATATAGCCAAGAATGGTAGTCAATAGTGAACGTGTTGCAATTTCCTTCTTTTTTCCCTTCCCAATGATAGTTAACGAATACTGATTGAGCTTGTTAAGCATGACTGTTTTCCTTCCAGATGAAGTTCTTTATCCATTCTCTACTTATATTTTTTTACTTTTGATCTATGTTGTTTTATTATTATTGTGTGGCGCATCTTTCTTGGTGCCATATTGTACCAAGTTTTTTCTGCGTTTAAATAAATAAATAAAATCATGAACTTGAAATATTCCGCTTTCAACAGCCAGAATATATTCTCCCCTTTTATCGTGAAAAATTGTGTAAATAAGTGTTAACATTCATTGCTAAATCATAAATCAGTATTATAACTTCACCTGGACTAATAGCCTCCGAGTCAAATTTCTACTCATGATTATACAGGGTTTTCTTCCCATAATAAGCTTTTGTTGTCACGATTAAGATGTATTCAATCCACCTTATTTTAATGAGAAATTTTATTCATTTGGACCGCTAAAAGTATGACGTTCTGGTGATACTTCAGGTGTATTTGGAACTTTCAGCAATTCAATAAATCATAAAAATGTAGTATATTAGATAGTCGGAGGAAATCGCCTCGAAGCCTTGGACCTAGGTTTCGTGCTACTCGGCACTCGTCTGCAAGGCGTATCTGCAAACTTGAAGGAACTTATGTCCCTTCTGAGATTCTAACCCGTGCCACCCATTGCTGTTGTCAGAGACGATACCACTGAGCTATTCTGGCTCGCGATTGACCTTCTGTAGGACTATAGTGGGTAGTTTGATTGGGTATTAGTAACTAGTGTGACGTATCCAGTCCTTTCCTTGATGCAGACTTAATTCTATCAGTCAGGTTTGCGATGTGGCCACCATTCTAGGTAGCTTGTCATCACGGTGCATGTTGATTTGATGATACTGATGATGGTAAAATGTAGTATATTTAATAAATTTTTAATCGAAGAAATTTTAAAATTGATGATCATGACTTGGCTAAAATCTAACAGGTATGAGAAAATACACTTCGTGCTTCTGTAGCACGAGATAAAAACTGATACCTGGCCTTTTTTCCTGAATAGTTTTTGGAGCCTTTAAATCATATTGTCTAATTTAAATAAGTAATTTTTGATGGTGTTTTCTGAGTATACTGGATATACGTAAGGAGCATCCAAGGTAATGATTTCATTTCATTTTGATCTGAATTCCTTTGTCTTTCTTCAACTTATCCTTCTTGCCACAATGAATGATTTTTGGACCAAATACAACACATCCTTCTACCTTACAGTAATTGCAACATCAAAAATAAACTAACTGTTTTCGAGAGGTTGTCATTATGAGGAAGCATTACCTAGTCCAAACTTTGTCAAAACATTTATTAACATGTGAATGCAAAACCGATATTGATGAAACCATGGTTCTGCAAACAGTTTTATGACCGAACACTTGAACCGAATACACAATATATGTATATATTAAAATCTCTCAATGACTACAACAGAGGGAACAACATTCCTTTAGCTGGAGCTAAAACATCCCTAATTACGACGAGTATGATTGAGAATACCCATATTCAGGTTCACCTTCATTGTCTCCATGATACATATCAGCAAGACACACGAAAATTTATTCATAATATTTCCGGGCCTTCAAGGGATTAAATGGACTTCTAGCTCTGATTTGTGTGACGTCACTCAATAGGAATGCCAGAACATTACATCTGCCACTGACCTAATATTTTATACTTGATTTATTTGACTGATGCCTAATTAATTGGTTCTTAGGAGATTTTCTTCTAGTAAATAACGGACTAAACTGCAACACGCCTAACTGCATTTCTAATGAATTTTTATTTTTGATTTACAGCTTGATTCCACACTGTATTTTTGGTACAGGTATGAAATTTTCAGCATGGATATCGGTAGCCCAAATTTTGCAGGCCAACCATTGATATCAGGTGTGCGTCGGCAGGGGATCGAACCTCGGACCATGTGCATGGTCGGCGAGAGTCCTAACCACTGTGCCACCGACGCACACAATCACCAGCTTTTCTAGTAATTCTCTTTACACTTCCGGGAATTTATCTAACCAAAGTTGACTTCGCTCGGTCGGATGCATGTGGTTGGAATAATCATCTTAGGGGGTAGAAATGTCTTAGGGGTAGGGTAGAAATGTCTGAAATATTTGTGACAAGTGTTCTACCTAAATACTACTTAAATAGTCATATTATAGTTATATGTTTCATACGGATTACTGATTCTACACCTATTCACTAAAGAATTTAAAATCTATAAACGCATTGAAACTTATTCATCAAGAATTAAAAGCCTGATTAAAGTAATAACAATACATAAAATGAATTTTTTCGAAAACTGACACCAGCTGTGCGTCGTTGGCTCAGTGGTTAGGACTATCGCCGACTATGCACATGGTCCGAGGTTCGACCCCCTGCCAACTCACACCTGATATCTATGGTCAACCTGCAAAATTTGAGCTACTGATATCCATGCTGAAAATTCCATACCTGTACAAAAAACACAGTGTGGAATCAAGCTGTAATAAAAAAAATTTAAAAAAAATCGTTAATGAGAGGGAGGTAAAGAGTTGTCTTGTCGTGGTTAGCTGTGGAAATCAGTCGAGGCACAGTATAGTAATCTATTACATTAAACATGGATTTGATCAGTTTTATAAACAATCATCAATGAAATCAAATCCAAGGATAGATGGTGATATTCCTGCGGAAAAAAGTAAAGGTTCTGCTGCCATTCTGACAGAGTGACGGATGTACATGGCTAAATTTATCAATCTAAAATAAAACAAGTTTCTATTGCTTCTTGACGTGATCTTCTTTCACTGATTTTTTATGCATAACAGTCAGTAAAAAAATGCATGCTGTCAAATTATAAACACACTTACATCCAATATCATGCAAAACCATTGTATTAACCTGAAGATCTGAAATAGTAGTACTCACTCCAGCAACAGTTAGACAAACGAAAAACATTGTACACAAAAATCTCCCAAAACCTCCTAAACTGTTAAATAGTACTGGAAACCTATGGAAATAAATTTAAAGTAGGTTGGCTTTAGCTATTTTATGTTGAAATCGAGCAACTAATTTTTCAAAAGTTCAACTTTGATTCTTCATATTATAAGAATGTGATAAACAAAAAAATGTTCACCATTGATAACTGGATAATTAGATTATTTCCGTAATATACAGATTCGAAAAAAAAAACATGTGATACATGCAGTTAATTTATCCCACCTTATCAAGATTTAAAAAAGTTAAAATTCACTGAATTCTACTTATTAATACTTGGCGGAGATTATTAAGTCCAGTGAAATTTAGTGACTAAAGTTTTGTGCTATACTGTCAGACTACTGAGTTCACTTTTAAGTAGTCTCTAGCCAAGCCGTTTTTGTTTAATGATTTATCACTATGCGTGGCGTAGTTGTTCAATACTCAGCATGGGTTTACGCCAAACGCCCGATTTCGATAACAGAAAACTGCAGAATGATTGACTAAGAAAACGATGACTTTTATTAAAATCTTCTCATTATCTTATGACAGTCTGCCCAACCATTTACTTAATAACGTAAGAATATCCCCCATGAAATTGGTGTATAACACTCATTTATGATATGAAGCTGATGCATTCATGGGGAATTTTTAAAAAATCAAATATCGCATGAAAAAATCGTCTTAACAACTGCTTGAATATTCACTTAAAATGCACTTACTGACATTACTTTAGTTCGAAATATGTACAAATTACCACAGAGTAATTTTGAATGTGATCAGATATTTAACTAGCATGAAATTGTTATGTTTGTTCCAACTGACCCCCTACAAGTTGCTTAATGTCACTTATTGTGTTAAAAAATTTTTATGCTTCTAAATTTGTTTTATCATTCAGCATTTACAATCAATAATAGCTTTACATATCCAAACAGTTAAGAGTAAATTACATCATTTCAACACACCAGGTTTCAGCATTTTATTTTTTCGGTAGTACGGCTGCAAAACAAACTGATTTTTAATCTTCAGGTATCAGTTTGTACAAAGTTTGGTTGTTTGGCTGGTGGATTTCACCATGAGCTGATATCTTTTAGAGGTGAGGATATTGCGAAGTTGTCACGCCATACCGTGAATCGTCAGTAGTTAAAATTCATGGGCCATTGGATTCAATCCAAGTGACTTAATAGTCAAGGAGCTCGCCTTGTAACCAGAAAGTCCTGAGTTCAAACGCTGCTGGGTGCGTACTGATGAACAGTCCCAAACTGGGACGAAACAGCTGTCCAATAGTCTGAGGTTTTCCAATGGTTCTTCAGCTGATGTCAGCTCATGATTTTTCATCGTTCGAATACATAAATAATCACCAATGAAGATTGTTTGTCTAACATCAACCACTTATTTCATTGCTGATTTGTTTGATTATCCTATGCTTATAAACTAAAATGAATTATTATTTTTGCTGGTTTATTAATTCTTAAGAGTTGATTAAGAACACTAATTATGTATGTTTTCTCAAGATTTTGTTTTAGATAACTACAAACAACTAATACCTTTTTCTATTGTTTGGTTTGTAAGGATTAGTTATGTTTTACGGGTTGATCACGGATTGATATCAGTTAGAGAACCATTGAAAACCAGGGAGTACTGGACAGCTGCTGTTTCATCCTAGTTTGGGAATCATCGGCTTTTTGTGGACGGAAGGAAAATCATCCTTTTGAATAAATAGGATAAATGAACACACTGAAAATAATTCACTAATGGATATCAACTCGTTCTGTCTAAAATGTGGATAACATAGATAGTCCTATAGACGCTAATGAAGAAAATATTGGTTTATCAAATGGAGAAACGATTCCACAGACATTATGGTACATGACTGAAATCATCTCATTAGATGGCCAGTAAAATATTATTATTGATCATATTTGCAATGTTTAACAAACATATGTCTCATCATAACGCCATATCAATAACAACAGAGAAGTTTAATTTACTCTTCATTATAAAAATAACACACTAGATCCTGCTTCTATTAATTATTATTATTATTGTTATTATTATGGTATCCTTTAATTCCTAGAGGGCTTCAGCCGCGTGTCTCCATTGCCTTCGGTTTTCTACCAACTTTTTCAACCCGCTCCAAGTCTGCCCACATGATTTCATCTTCTCTTTACATGACCTCCTCCAAGTCACCCTCGCACTGACCACCAACTCGCCGCTTTCCTTTCGGGTTCCACTGGAGCGATGGCTTGTCTAGTGATGTCACTTGATGGTTTGTTTCCTCAGAGTATGGCCAATCCAATCCGTCTCAATTTCTTCCTGCCTATTTGTTGCACATTGGTTCCTGCTGGGTTGGTTCGCTCATTACCAGAGATCCATCCCTGTTGCTGATCTTTTCTGGCCATCTGATCGTCAGTATGTAGCCGGCAAAGACAGCTGTTGATGAAGGTCTGTAGTTTGTTTGAGATGCTCTTTATGACGCGCTGGCCAAGTCTCTGATCCGTATAGTAGCACTGACTGACTTCACATTCTAGTTGAAAATCCGGATCTTATGTTTCATGGTGAGGAGTGCTGTTGACCACCACACAGACTTAAGAGTAGTAAAACCTTGTTTTGCTTTTCTGATTCTGGCTTTGATATCCTCGTCAGTTCCGTTCACCTGAAATTGAAACGATGCTTCCCAGGTAGGTAGGTGAAGGAGGTTGTTTCTTTCAGGTTCCTCCCATTTATGCTGGATGATTGTAGTCTGTTGTCGTTGTTGTTGTTGCTGGTGTTGGTGTTGGCCAGGAATCTTCATCACCTCTGTTTTATCTATGTTCACTTGAAGTCCTATCTTCTCTGGATGCTTCTTCTGCCAGCTTGTTGCTTTTCACTTGCATATCTTCTAGTTCGTGGGAAATCAGACATATATCACCGGCGAAGTTCAGATCCTCCAAGTCTCTTTTTGTGTGAGTTCATTTTATGCCTGTTTATTCATTGCCCGTTGTCTGTCACATTATTCAATCTACTGCAATCAGGAAAATCATTGGCGATAGTAGGCAGTCTTGCCTCACTCCCGTCCTCACTTCGAGGGCTTCCGTAAGTTTCCTGTTGTGTATTACTCGGCATGCAGCATTGTTGTATAACTGTTGGATGAGATGTATAATTGTCGATGGGACCCCGTAGTAGTGAAGTAGTTGCCAAATGAACTCTCGATTGACGCTGTCGAGTAGTATATAGTGAAATGATCGATTTGCTTAACAAAACTGATTGTCAACCGTTAATTTTTTCTCAACAGAAGTGTATAATGAAAATTAATGCCACAAACTAGCATAAAAATCTTACCATATGAATGTAAGGCCACTACTACCTGGTCCAGTTGACTGCATGAGCTTTAGAATCCCTAAACGTGTCATTGTCGGTTGAGTTTTAATAAGAGTAGAGAACACAGTGGAGAACACTGCAATAGAACTTACAAAGCTGAAAAGAAAAAAGAACAAAACATTTTCAGCTAATTAAAAATTGATATTTTTCACTCGTAAATTTTTTCATTTCACAAGATTAGTTACACTTAAACTAAACTACAGATTCGTTGCTTTTTATCTTCTCTTTGCTCTTTATTAGCTCATGTTTATTATCTATAAACTAAGAAGCCATCTCATTATCTATATGAACTGTTACTCTTATTCGATCAGAAAGTCACTACTGCAGTAATATTCTTTACATCTTTATAGAAACTGTTACGCATACCACTAAAGTGAAACGCAGTTTCATTTTACTTTTTGTGATGTATTAGTGAATTATGAAAAGAAAAAAGATGCATAGTATTGTTCTTCTTTTTTGTTAAAAGATTGTATTTGGAGGGGTCATCTTTATGGAATGAGAGTTTATTCGAATTAAACATATAGTAAAATTAAAAAAGTAGTCAAGTGTTGGCTTGTAGGGATTTGATTGGTTACAGGATTTCATCATGCGCTGACATTAGTTAGAGAACTATTGGAAAACCTGGGAGTACTGGACGGCTGTTTCGTCCTAGTTCGGGACTTTTCAACAATACGCACCCACCGGGATTCAAACCCAGGACTTTCTGGTTACAAGGCGAGCTCGTATACCATTAAGCCACTGGGACCCGATGCAATGGCCAGCCAGTGCATTAATTCGAACTTCTACCAATTCACGACATAGCACGACCCATAGCCAATGTCTTCGGCGAGTATTTGTCCTCACACCCGAGCTGCTGCAACCTAGTTGTCACAACTTCCCACTGGAACCCCAGGCAACTACCTATCTCAATAGGGGAAGTCACTAGTGAGCATCTCATTGATATTCCAGAAAAAGTAGTGGTTATGTTTTGTGTATATTTTAAGTGCATAAAATCCAATTATCTCCATCTGGTTCTATATCAAACAGTCATTTAGTGTGTTAACTGATTGTTTCAGTGCTTTATAATAGTCACCTTCAAAAAAGCCGTTCAAATAGTAATCCATAGTTTGGTTTGTAAGGGTTAGTTATGTTTTTACGAGTTGACCACGGATTGATAGAATTAGTAGTACTTAGAATTCATGAGGCATTGAATCGGGTCCCAGTGGCTGAATGGTATACGAGCTTGCCTTGTAACCGGAAGGTTCTTGGTTCGAATCCCAGTGGGTGCGTACTGCCGATGATTCCAAAACTAGGATGAAACAGCAGCTGTCCAGTACTCCCAGGTTTTCGATGGTTCTCTAACTGATATCGATCCGTGGTCAACTCGTAAGAACAAACAGTAATCTCTCTAAAGTCAATACGAATCCCACGAAAGGTTTAAGATGACCATGCACAACGTGCAAATAATACAAAATAAATTAAATTCCTATTTATATTCATTATCTCATCACTAAAATGTGGATAAAGTTTATTGGAAGTTCAATGTCGTTAACCTGATTCGCTAATTTCTGAAAACTATAGAATGATGACTTTTCATTGTAATCATGAGTGGTGTTCTGGCTAAAATCCCTTTCTTTGCAGGCAAAACATTTACAAAATGGTTCGCCTTGCTGTGATTCATGTTGTACGACGGAGTTTTGATTTAAAGTGATTGAAATAACTTTGGCTGGTATGTTTAAGATCCTTAGTTTCTTGACAATTATATAACGCTGCCAAATAAGTCATCTCAGTTAAACATTACACAACCTCTCTAGTGATTTCATCATTGTGGAAATTCACCTGAATAAAAAGATTATATCAAGAAAGCATACGTACATAAAATAACTTGTAAAATTTAATAAGTGGATTAATATAAAAACGAACAAAAAAGCTATTACTATTATCCAAGTGTTTTTAAAAGTTAAAAAAGGAATATTTTTGACTCAAATGTTTATACCTGAAATGCTTCACAGCTTACCTGTACTACTTCAAAGTGTTTCAAGTAATTTTTAACAGTACCTAAGAATGCAATTACCTTACTAAATTATTCAGTACTGGAATGACTGTGCCATATCTGACAGCGCCACGTTTTCTGCTCATAAATGCTGCATACGTAGCCAGCGCTCCAACACCAGCGCCTGTATCAAAAGCATTCTGACTTAAAGCAGCAATCCATACCTCTGGATATTTCAAACTACCTACACGAAACAAAATGCAAGTATTCGACTGGTAGTATCATATAACAAAAAGAGAAAGTAACATAGCAATATCAGCCTGAGTGTATAAGTGCATATAAGTGAACATTTAAACTGAGTGGTTAAATTTCCATTACTAGGTCAATTAACATCATATTTAAATTCTTCGTTATGAAATCTTCTTTCACCTGCTTGAAAACCTATTCCATTCATGTGAGAATTTTTTATTAATTATATTAGTTTCAATGAAGTATTAAAGTAAAGTCGAATAATATAAGTCATCACCAATAAAAATATACCTCATTCATTCCAATATAATTAACAATAAACATGTGAATCAAATGAGTGCATGGAAATGTTTATTTCCCGATACCAATTGCAAAAAAACAATTCAGACTGGATAATCATGCAAATGGTTAAACATTGTTGAATAAAGGGAAAATTGTGCAGCATTTACGGCAACTTTTCAAAAAGAAATACACTAATGAGAATACATATTGGAATATCAAGCCGATTGGGTTACAGCCCCAGAATTTTACAGTCGTGTTGAAATACACAAGCCCGGAGCGTCCTGGAGACCTATACTCTCAATGATAAATTCACCATACCACAAATTAGCACAGTGGCTATGTGAATTGTTGCAGCCTATGCGAAGAAGCTTTGGAATGCATATAGTTCCCGATACATTCCTGTTTGTCAAGCAAATTAATGATGTCAGCATATCTGGTCAGCGGCTGGTGTCTTTCGATGTTACTTCCCTATTCACAAATGTTCCAGTCGTTGAGACTATTGACTTTATATATACAAAAAGCCGAAGCCGAACTCGAAATTAAGGAAATTGTTGCCTTCATTTACTAATAATGTCCAATTCCAATTCGATTGACATCTATTCCGTCAACATGATGGTGTTGCAATGGGAAGCTCCTTGGGACCACACATGGAACATTTATTCTTGTCAAATTTAAAAGTCTGTATTTCACGACAACGTGTATAACAAACTGAATCATATAAAAGACATTTGCATAATATTTTTGTAGCCTGTGAAAGCAAATCAAAAGCTGAAAACCTGTTGATAAAATTCAGCTCATGCCATCAACTTCAAAATAGAACACGAGGAAAATGATACCATCGAATTCCTAGATGTTTCTTTGATGAAAAGGACTAGTGGCACCACTGAAAGGCGTACATTTAAAAGGTCTCCATGGACAGGACAGTACACATATTTCGAAAGTTTTGTTCCTATCCACTATAAAAAGAACTTAGTCAGAACACCGCTCGATAAAGCACGAAAACTTTGTTTTCATAGCGTAACTGAACACGATATAAAGGCTCTGAAAGATATTTTATCTAAAAATGGATATCCTGAGAAGTTCATTAATAAATACGTAAAGAAATAAGCCTCAAGAAAACTATTCAAACAGTTCCAAAGAAATCTGCCTAAATCAGTTTACTATTCAAAGGAGATGATGTACAGGAAGTAGTCAAACGAAGACTCGATAAAGCTACCAAGAGAACTTGTTATGTTGCAAAACTTGTTTTCCTCAACACTACCAATCGAGTGCTTCAACAATCTGGGAAAGACCAGTCGCCAGTCCTCGACACTTCAAACTGCGTATATCAAACTGAGTGTGTTTGTGGAAGCAAATACATAGGTCGTACAGAAAAGTGATTGTCTACTTGCATGATGGAGTGGTTGAAAACAGTTGAAGTCAGTGTGCCGAAAATTTCAATAACAAAGCATCTTGTGGACTACGGACATGATATCGATGCGGTCAAGTCATTCACTGTTTTCAGCGGACAAAGAAATAAAAAGATGCTTGCAGTTACAGAGGCTTGAACAATTAGAATTTATAAATCAGGTCTCCGTGTACAAAAGGAAATGGTCGTAACTCTGAATCTACCATGGTAATACGTCTTACTTACCAACTGTTATTATTATTAATGTCTTAACACTTTATTCTACCTGTTATTATTATTCCTGATTCATTTACAACTATCTATTATCAGTAGCATTATCTTAACTCGTCCCGACATTATTATTATTACTCACTTCGCAATTCTTGAGACATTTAAGTTCTTTCTCCAATGACTAACTGTTTATTTTGGTGATTTAGTTGAAACGTGATGCATTTTATCTTAATTTTGATCTCACATACTCCCTAACCCTTACCTATTTGAACATGACCTAAATAATATTCACACGTGTCATTTTGCATGATTAATTCAATGTAGTTTATTTGCTTGTGAGTTTTATATCTCCCAATGTATTTCTTAATGGTATATATTCCAGTATGCAGAGTATTCAGCTGACGAGTTCTACAGAAATTTGATAGATTCTCTAAATCCTGTTTTATTAACTTATGTTGCTTGTTTTAAAAGGGTACTTAACAAGCTTTTTCCAGTGGCTGATATCTGAACGCATACTAAATACAAAAGACTGTGCTCAATAGACAGTTATAAATGATAAAAACGACCCAAAAGCATTAAAAATTTCATTTCTTGAATGGTCATTAAGATTAGTATCTTTGTCCAATTGTATCACACATTTGAAGTTTAGCAATTTTTTTATACTTTGAATTAAGCTCACTGGTTTAGGGTGTTATACTTAAATAAACAAGTTCTTGATACGACTAGACTGTGGAACAATTCAGTTAATACCATCTAATTTCTTCAGTATTTAATATAATTGGATAACATGTAACTGCAAATAGTTATCACAATTGAAAGATACTTTGTCATGGTGTTCATAAATCGGGCGTTATAACATAGAAAAATATTGAATGATTTACTCCCACTAAACAGTATATAATAGGATAACAGTAACTTGCAAAAGAAGATGAGAAGCAAAATTTACTTCCTCATTACCATTAAACTTAGAGACTAAACTGATTCAAAAGGCTCTAAATTGATTGAAAAAATGAGATTACCAATAAAACTTCCAGATAAAAAAAAGAGTTTGTCTTTCTAAGGCTTAAGTTATCATGAACAATGTAACTGAAAACGTGTGAACTTCCAACATTTTTTTGAAAACTTGCTTGTTTCACAAATAAAATTAATCGGTTCAAGTAACCCTAAGAAAACCTCCTAATTGTGCAGCTAAACAATATTATTAGTTTAAACGTTTTGAAAATATGATAAGTAGGGTAGATTGGATTAGAGCACTGCCACTTGTCAAAGAGCTAGTATACTGTATTATTATTATCATTGGCTGTCCTCAGTTGGACACTGGACATCGACTTTGATAAATGAAGAAACCAATAAGTTTTCCATCTAAATCTGTAGGCTCCAGTAAAGTATGGTCACCTATTTCCGAAACAGTAACAAATAATTGTAACTAAAGAAAAAAATAGTTCATGCTTAGCCATAATCTCCGTTTCCTTTCTCGTGAATATCAAACATTAGTCGTGCATTACGACATGACTCTGCTCACATAAATGTATGCAGATGATTGGGGGAGACTGTGGAATCGAAAACAACACAAGACAACTTGCAGAAAAACACTACTGAATTCAGTTTGCAGTTAACTGGTGGGTTAGTGTAGTTGCTGAAACTAGAAAGAGCACAGAAAATAAGAGGACGAGGAAGTACATTATGCTACCATAAATAGACGCGTATATGAGGGAGTACAGTTAAATAAAGATCATTGAGGATCCTCAGAATTTGGAGGATAACAAAGATTGAGTGCGTCTATGAGACTGTGAGCAAATCACTGCTTCTTAGCATCCTAAGGACATCATTCACACAACTTACAAATCCCCATAAGGCACAGACAGTCTATGCCTCCAAAGATAGATGCATGTTTTGATGACTCTTTGTCTACCTAATCTACCTCAGTTAACATTGTTCATTGAGGAAGATCGTGGCTTGTTTTCAAATTACAGCTTCATTTTAGCACTTGGTATAAATTCACAAATTGGCTACCGACTACAATTCTAGAGGAAATCTAATAATTTGTTGATAATCTTACATTGTTTCTTCTTGAAATATGCATTATCAACGTAACAGAATACATGGAATGCAACGCAAATGTAACTTCAACTTTTCTTAACTAGTGCGGCTTATTCATAAAGTAATAATATTTCTCGATCAGCCGTTAAATGTGTCTCACCCAGAACTATGTGTTTACATATGTAAATGTATAATTTGGTAAATAACTGAGACACCCTTATGCGCTGCATCAGCATTTAAAGTGGACTGATTCATATCCAAACATGTCAGATCAGAATATCTATTGAAATGAAGTGTTTTTTTGAGCTTCAATTCAACGCAAACGATTAAGTGACATTTGCTACTTTCATGGATGTTACCAATTTCTCATATCTCTCATAAACATTCAGATTCTTTTAACACATTTTGGATGGCACTGTTTACATTTAATGTATTTGCACAATACATATTTACATGTCTCTTTAGTGTATAAAAAAATACACCACGAATTATAATTATACTAAAAGCTAAGAACGATCTCTACTACAAACCTAAAAATTGCACAAGTTATTACGTCACACCTCACATTAAATACCAATTTACATATGGGTATACATACCTAGGAAGGAGTAGGCGTGGCAAGCATGTGATGGAGGGGGTGGAATATACCCAAGTGGCTTGAAAAACAGTTGAACTCCCAAATGTCGATAAACTCTGATGATAAACTATCAGTTTCGTCTATAGCAAAACATACATTTTTTATCAGTCACAAGATCAATATCAAAACAGTTTTAAAGAATACACAGAAAACTAACAGAGATACATACAAAGAATATGCTGAGACGACAGACATACGTAAAATTAAATCTTCCTTATATATGCAAAAGCGATTTATTGTTACCCTTAACCCATCTCGGTAAATCTTGTTTTACTCTATCACTAGTAGTAGTATTAATTATTATCCTCCTTGCTTTTAAACTCCTTATTATTTTATTTATTTTAATTGACCTTTCATTTCTTTTACTTTCACATAAATTGATTTAAAAAGGATATCTGTGGTCAGACTGTTCGAAATG